ACGCTCTAGAGCTAATAAATCGCTTTTACTACTATTATTAGATTAAAGGGAGATCTCCGTAATACTTTAAGTTTACCCTAAAGTTAGATATTAACTTTAATTACGAGATTTTAATCGATATTATATACTTAGATAGAAAGCCCGTCCTCTATATAATTAATATAAATATAGGATTCTAATCCGTAACTTTTATTCCTAATTTTATAGCTCGAGTAACGTAAAAAGCCCTTAAAAAGTACTAATTAGATATATACTTTAGCCCTCTAGATATCGTAACTATTAACGCTAGAATAAACTTTACCTTTATAGAATTTAGGGTAAAAGTATACCTTCTAAGTATAACCTACTATTAAATCCTAGTAAGGGCCTATTAGTTAATTAGTAAAGTTAAGAGTTACTATAAGCCGATTCGTAGAGCGTACGAGATCCTAAAAGTAAAATCTTATAATACGAGCCCGGAATCGCTACTTTAAGGAGTAGTAAAAGCGGTAAACGATACTACCGGGCTTAACGGATTAATACCGATACTATTTATATTTAGAGCTATACCTAGGATTACTATTAATTTAATACTAATTACGACCTAAGTATAGTATATAAAAGTAATTAATAAAGTAATAATAGAGCTCTAGCGAATAGTCGCTAAACGGAAGGTTAATAACGCTCTTAATACTTATAATAGACCGGATACTAAATAGTTATTACTAAGATCGCTAAAGCTAGGAAGCGATATCTTAGTATTCTAAGAGTAGGAGAAATAGACTAATCTATATAAGGTTATATTAGTTTCTAATATAGCGGTTACGGTTAAAATAATTAACGGCTTAATAGAATTTAGGGGAATATACATTAAGCTATATAATAGATCGCTAGATTAGTAAACTAAGGATATAATAGTAGTCCGATCTTTAGAGACTTTAGAGCTATTTAAGTACTTAGAACTAATTCTATTACGATAACGTAGAAGACTTAGAAAGTTAGTAAACGCTACGAATCTAATATAGGCTATACTTATAGATCGCTAGAATAGCGCGACCGGGACTTTATAGATCGAACGCTAATTTATCGTTAAAAAAGAGTAATAGGGCTATAAACTAACTATTAAACTACGAAATAAAGGTAGAATAATAACGCCTAGGAGACTATTTAAATAATTTAATTAAGAGGAAATCGATTTATTTCTTATAATTAAAGTAATTATACTAATTAAGCGATTAGTATTTCCTAATACTAGGATCTTTAAATACTAGCTTATAAGAGAAGTAAAAGGCCTCCCTTAAGCCTTATATAAAAAGTTAAGATTAATAGTTTAAGGGTATAGCGATTAGGAGAAGATAACCCTATTAACGTAATCGCTTACGATTATATACTATAATTAATAACTAATCCTAGCGATTACCTTAACGCTATAGTAATATAGTTACTAATTAATACTCCGTAATATTAATTAAGCTTATACCTAAAGCGCTATAGATCTACTATATAACGTTCTTCTATACGTTCTTAAGGAGATATAATATAAATACCCTAAAGGAACTATCTTCTATATTATAAAGCCTCTCTATAGAATTATAGAGTTAGGCCTCTATTAGTTTATAACTTACTAATAGTATTATAGGGAGCGCCTAAACGCTATTCTAATAAGCTACGATCCGTATCTCCTATTAATAAAGGCTAGAGAGAGCTTTAGATTAATCGGGATATAGATTAACGATACTTTAAACTTTAGAGAGCCCGCGTTTATAGAAAAAGAGTAAATAGAGCTCTAGAGAGCTAGCTTCCGCGTAAAGCCTACTTCTATCCTAAATATAGGGTTAAAAGGGGTATTTAATAGCTATATTATTAAAATCGGAACTAATAATCTTATAATTTTATAGAAAGGCTAAATTAATCGCTTAGAGTAAGTAACCCCGAGGATAGAAGATTTAGAATAGTAATTCGTCGCTTAGAGAGCTCGTAGTATATATATAGCCTCTACCTATTAATTAGAGGTAGCCTTCGATTTCGCTATAACTTCTTAAACTAGGAACTTAGAGAAGGACGACTTTAAAATACTTAATAAATATATATAATAGTAGATCGATAACGTAGATCGTAGTTTAAATTATATACGCCTCGATCTATTAACGGCCTAATTATATATATTTATTAATAGCTCCTTCGTAAATAATAAGGACCTTAGTTTATAGATTAAATTTATTATCCTCCTTAGTAACGAATATTCCTACGATTAATAGAATACTTTTATAGTATATAGTAATATCCTTTACTAGTAATCCGTTAAATATAAACGGGTTATACGTTTAATTCTAATTAGCGAAACCTATAGGATAATTAATAGTTTTAATATAGCTTATATCCTTAAATAGACGCTCTATAAGATCTATAAACGCTTAGAATTACTACTCCTATAGATAATTATCTATATTAATAACTATTTACTCTATTAATACTTAATTTAACTAAGTATAATAGTAGAGAAACGCTTTATAATAGATCTTATAATATTATAGTAAAGCTACGAAGAACGTAAAGTTAACGAAATCCGCTAAATAGCGAGAAGAGATAACCCTATAGATTTAATAATAAAAGGAGCTCTAAACTAAGTACTAGAAGCGCTAATAAGCTTTAATAAAGTTATAATTAAAATTAAAGGATAAGTTAAACGTTAAGAAAAGGATAATTAAGGGGTAAAAGTAATTAATATTAATAATAATTAATTATACTTTAAAAATAACTACTTTATAAGTAGTAAAATAGTAAAATAAGAGCTTAATAAGACGACTAAGCCTTAGAGTCCGAGGACTCTAAGTCTAACTACTCTAGCGAGTCCTACTAGAGGTAATTAAAGAGCTATAGAGTTATAGCCCGCTTAGCCGTTTTACATTTAATATTATTAAGACTATCTAAGTCTCTATTAAGGTCGTTACCCCTTATAGCCTCCTCCTCCTCGGTAATCGTTAATATACCCTTAACGATAGTATACTATTTCTCTATATCCTATATCCCTTATTAGCTAATCGTATAATTAGAGAATTAAAGAAAAGAAAAAGGAAGAGAACTTACGAGCTTATTATTTTTATCCTAAATAGCTAAAAACTTTATAGCGGGCTTAAACGCTTTAACCGGACTAAAGATAATAATTATTAAAGCTATAGATACCGGAAATAGAGATCGCGGAAGCTTATATTAACTTATAAGAATACCTAGAGGTATATTTATAGTAATAGGAACCCTTAGGCTCTAAATCGTAATATACGCTATTAGCGTTAGTTTTAGTTTATTTACTAGTAAAATAAGACTTTAAATACCTTAAGTAAAGGGACTTACGAATCTTACTATATATACGTACTATATCCTAGATTAATAGCTCCTATAATTAATATTAACCGGGTTTTTACGCTTCGCTACTCTCTTAGCGGGAGGGGTAACGGGCGCGGGGGCTTTAGGCTTAAGTAGTATTATCGAGGCCGGGAAGAGAGAAAGAGAGAGAGAGAGAGAGTAGTAAAAATAAGGATTTACTAATTATCGGAGCTCTTAAATAGTAAATTAAGTTAGTTAATCTTAAAAATAGAAAATCGTTATAAGGAAGAGGAGAAGTAAAAGGAATAGAGTCGCTAAGTCTTATTAATTAAATATATAGATCTATAGAATATAGTATTTACTAATCTAATTAAATAGGATCTATTAATTCTATTTAAGCGGTTTAGTTCTATTATCCTTTTTTAAAAGCGGTTTAATTTAATTATTTTACGGAAAGTTAATAAAAGAAGTAATAATAATAGTATATTTACCTCTTATTAATAGACTAATAATTTAAAGGTATTAAGAGTACGTATTCGGCCGTTCTAAGAGCGCTATTTAAATACTTATTATACTATTAGATTATTATTTATTTCCTTTATTAAAGGGCTTTAACTACTTATTCCTATTATTTAAATTATAATTTAATTTATTTCCTTAGAGAGCTATTTATAAGTAATGCTACCGCTCTAAAGTACTAGGGACTAGGAGTTTAACGCTTATTAGAATAGGGAGATTAAGTTACGTTTCCTTTATTATAATTATTATTCTCCTATTATTAAGTAATAATATTAAAACGAGAAGGGTAGATCTAACGTACTAGAGACTAAGGACTAGAAGCGCACTAGAACGCCTACTAACCCTAGCAGTAGCTCCCGATATTAGTTCTTATAGCTATTCTATCTATAGAGAAAAGAGAGCTAGTATTAAACTAATATTAAGGAACTCTCTAGGGCGGTGATCCCGTTAGGGGATCACCGATCCTATAATTACCGTAGTTACGGATTCATAGCTCCTAAGAGTACGTGAATTATAGCTTACGTAATCGGTAGGTCGAATAGGTATATCTAACTTACGAGGGTAGCGATAATCTATAGAGATATTATTAATAATATTATAAGACTTATATCACCTACCCTACGTATTCAGAGCTCTCAGGCACAGCCAAAGTAATGAATCAGGGTTCACATGAGCAGTGAAGCCCTCTCAACACATGCGCTATTATTCCCGTCGAGAGTTAACAGAACGGAAACTATCATCGGACACCTCTCGTATCACCATCACGGAGCTGTGGATCGTCGTACTTGGTATTATCATTTCCTCGTGGGAAGAGGCTTGCCTAAGCGTTCAGGACGGCTGTGAGTTGATCTTGGAACTATTAAAACTTGTTAACTCCGAAGGAAGCATACAGGTTGCTTGGATCTACCACTTAGCAAACGCGGCCACAGAGTATGGCACTCCTCGTGATATCGACCGAGGCCAGTCTGCAAAGCTCTTCGGGCTTGGAAAACGACGATGCAAAAACTTCCTGCCAAAGCTCCCAGCTTTTTTCGGGCTGAGTAGCTTCGCCACTCTGCTCGACATGGTCGATGACGATGATTATAAATTTCTTAAGTTGCGTGAAAGGGTCCTGGAACGTGGTCCTTTCGCTAGGGACGACCTGATTCTCCGCACCCAAAACGAACACACATCACGTCATGTGGAACAAGAAGGTTCGAGAAACTGTCCAATCTGATACACAAGAAACCTCGGCGCTGATTTCTAAAGATTCAAACACCGTCCTATACCCTCACCGATGGACATTTCTCAGGTGTCACAGAGATAAATCATACTGTACTGGAGATGATTGCGGCTGTATCGTACCAGACGGACCACCCTGTGCCTGTCGGCTATCAAAGCTCGGGTGTGGACTGGACTGTCATTTGGACATGAAATCAGTCACTTGCTGCACGACAAACATGTTGACTTCATCCAAGCTCGAAGGTCTGTTTTTCTATGCCGGATTGCAACCGGCGAGGAACCTGGCCCAGCGCCCCTGGAGCAATGATCCCAGGAAATTCCCAATGGATTGCGCCGAAGAAGTCCCAAACAGATACAAAGGTTTTCTGGGCATGACTTCGAATATGGCCTTGTTTATCAAAGATGACGTCACCCTCGAAGGTGATCCCAACATGCAGCAATCGAGCATTCGCTTTGTCCAGTCTCTATTCTCATCTGGCAAGATTGACTCCAAGGCACTCATCGCTCATATGCGGAATTGTTGGGTAAAAGAAATACACGGGGGGTACTTCACGTCGGACAAGATACCTGATCCGATCTATGCCCTGGAATATGTCACCGAAGTCTATTCGATATTGAGTGGGGCGACAATCAACGTTCAAATCTTCGCTGAGCCTCTCTTGAGTTACACATGGGTCGCTTCACTCCACGCCCTATCGAGAGACTCAAATTTTAGCCATCACCTGTCTTTGGAGGGGTTCGCGGCAGTGTCTCGACGTCCAACTGGACTTGCATCTTACATAGACGCCGAGTCACCATTTGTGGAAACAGCATCATTGTCAAGCAGCGTGGGCACGGCCGGGTCTGGGTGTTCTTGCCACACATGGGCACACGATGTGCGTTGTGTGACTTTTGCTTGCATTGCCATGATGGAGACCGGCTACATGGACATAAAACCGGAGATGCTGAAAGACGTCTTGGCTGCATCGTCAGGAGACTCCATCTTTGTTGCTTCCAGTTTGCTGACAGATCCATCAGAGTCAGAAAAGCAAGGCTCCATAGAGCAAATCTTCGGAAATCTTGGCCGGTCCGAGGTCACGTTTTTACTTCCGCCTTCCCAGCCAATGTTGGAAAAGTGCGACTTGAGTTCCTGGCGCATCATTAATCACGACTCATTCGATGGCAAGTTTGTCGACAGCTTTACAAATACATCACTACATCTGTCATTCACGAACTACGAAATGCCACTAGATATCGGCCCAAGAGGCCTGTGCGACACGCTTGCAGTTCTGGTGGAGTCGCTTGTGTCTATTGATGACGGGGGTAAACATATCGGTGATCTGGACGTACTGTCCATGTTCGCCAACAACCGTTTGGAAATTGTTTCGTGTGGACATTGCCAATCCGAGGCAAGCGATGAGACGACACATTTCAAGGGGCAAAGCAAACTTATCTCTATTGATTGCTGGGCTGAGCTCTTCGATTTTCCCATGAAAACTTCGATCGTACGGGCTTGTGGAAATTGGGAAGCGAGACTGGCTTTGGCATCAGCAAGCATCCAACAAGGAAGATCTGTTCTCGTCTTACCTCAACAATCATGCCGGAAGTGTTTATCACTTGCCATCGAAAGATTTCCTCACGATGTAATCCTTATCTAGCCTTATATACTAGGGTTGTTGCTTGTTAGACCTAGTAATACTACATAGGCCTAGTGTAACAACCAGAGAATACAAATAGGACCGACAGACGACCCAGAGGGACAACACAGTGAAGACGATAGGATAACACTGCCAGGTATTAGGTCACATAACAGGATCACCGCCAATAGTGATCTAATAAGGGGATCACTATTATATCAGGATTGCCGTGGTCTGTGTTCCAACAAGACAGGACCGCCAATCAACAGTCAGCTTTTCAACATGGGCTCACCACTTGTCAGGGGACCCTGCGGGTTCCCTGCGGAGTCGCCAGCAGGGGGTCAGCTAGAGGGCTAAGGGCTACGAGAAACGTATATATAGGCTACGGAGGGCCCTCCAAGCTGCGGAGGGCCAGAATTCATATATATTCCGACCCCCTACCTATCTTCTATCTGCTGCGGACCACGTATTGAAAACCTCTTCACTCTGCTTAAAATAACACTCCAACACCACTAAATAACAAGGACAGGATGAATGGGTATATAAGGACGGGCATTGTATACTTGTAAATACATTCTTTCTCTCGATAGTGATCAAACTACGTTTTACTTTAATTCATCATAACGAGTACGCAACGCCTTAAGATACCCTATCGCCTCAGAGTCACTACCTAAGCTTCTGCTAACAGCAACCCCAACCCTCTGATAATGTTCCCTCTTCGGAGGCTGCCAGGTCGTGATAAGGGCCTCCCGATATTTAAGCACCGTTGATACTCACGGTTCACGAACACGAGGCTATCAGACCCTGCCGGCGGTACGGGGAGGAATCTCGTCCATGTCAGGAACAATGCCAAGGTGCTGGTTACCAAAAGGCCACGACTGAGGGCCACCAGACACCGTAACACCGCCATTCTGGCGCTCCACTGTGATGAGAATCCAGGTCAGCACATTCCATCCCAAAATTGGGCATCTAGTGAAAAGGGAGATGGACTCACTGTTGTTCCAGTACGAGTAACCCTTGTCCTTGCACTGCTCGTTGCGTCCGCAGATGCTCGCGGAGCCAACGCCACCCGCGTTCGGCGAGGTGATGACGACGGGCGCGTAGGGGCCGGGCAGGCAGCACCTGTTAGACTGGTGGTTGACCGTGTACATGGTGCTGGCGGTGCGCCAGAAGACGCAGATGGTGTCGTCGGGGTCGCCGTAGCAGGTTTGCACCTCACCCGACTCCTCGTACTGCGAGACCTCGAGGCCGGCGCTGATCCAGCCGGCGCCGCTGATGCTGGCGCCGAAGCTGACGACGTTGCCCTCGACCTCGGACTTGGAGATTTCGCAGCCCGGGTTGCCGGCGCAGCTGTGTGGCTTCTGAGAGGGGCTGGGTCAGCTACTTCGGTCGTTGAGAGGCTGGCCTGCGGAAAGAAGGACTTACCGTCATCTGCTGGAAGAAGTAGGTCTGGTGGGGGTCTGGGTTTGGGTGCTCGGTGACGATGACGTCGCAGCCGGCAGGGCAGAAGTTTTGGGGGAAGGGGCTGGCGGAGACGGCGCCGGCGAGTGCGAGAGCGGAGACCAGCAAGTTGATCATGATGAACGAGAAGAGGTTCCGGGGGAGATGTTGTTATGTGGAAGAAGATATGGAGGAGGGTCTGAGTGAGGTAGAGGAGTTGGTGACAGCGAGGGTGCTGTTGGTAGAGGAGTTATTGCTGAAGCTGTTGATGCTGCTACTGAAAAATGATACTTAATTTGGAGATCAGTTCGGGTTCTTATATGCTGTTTTTTGTGATGTTCGATCTTCACGACATGACCAACATGTTCAACGTAGAGCATGAGATCCGAGTCGTGCACATGGACCGGCATGGTAGCTCAATCCTTCATCGTCATGGTTCTGTATCCAAATCCTGTGGGATTCAGAATAACTCGAAGATCCGTAGACCGTAATAGCAAACTGAGCCGGGATTAGGAGAGATGTTGCCTGCAGAAGACGTCGAAGCCCAATTACAGACGCACCGAAGGGCTGAGCTTTACCAGAGCTTCAAGGCCGAAGCTTGACGCAGGGATCTTGCTCTAGGTGGACCCTGATTTCTAGAGCATGTTGGGCCTAGCGGGCTTACCCTGAACAAGCCTGAACAGGTGCTATTTTGAGGGCATACCATGTCAAGCGGTGCGGTGGCTGGATCGTATCCACCGAAATCAGACGCATTGAGCATCTTTTGTGAAGTGGCACTACTGATCATGGCCTCATTGAGCAACATGTACACTCCCCCGAGGGCCGTGATGTCGGTTAGCGGATGCACTCGCTCGCAGTGGCGATTCATATGTTTTGCCATTCGCTGCAGAGCCGTTCATCCCGGATCTCTTTGTCTTGGCTGATCCTCCGTCCTGGAAAGCTCGAGGGATGTAAGGATTCCCGAGGGTGACGTTGGAAGATTGTCTGACTCGGGAAATCAGATCAAGCTTGTTTTCGTGACAGAGGGCATGTTGCCATCGCTGCAACACGGGACGAAATCTACGGCGGCAGTAATGAGGACAACCAAAGACTCGCCGTGGTCACGCGCGCATGGCGGGATAAGCCTTGTCCAGGTAGACAGCCAGCCTGAATCTAGATCATAGTTTTCCGTTGTATTCGCATCTCGCGCCAGCTCAGCGTACTGCCTCTACGTATGAGGCAAATGTTTTGAGCCTTTTTGTGAGAAAAGAACAATGGCGAGCGTATGTCATTGAAAAATGTGCACGCCTACGACTGCCCTTTCCAGCGCTGAATCTGCCGATCGCCTGAATCCTTCAGGGAGTCTTAAGCTCATTAGTGTGCTGACCAGGGGGTTCGTAGGATCAGACACGCCCATAATCTGCAAGTTTCCCAAGTAGGACGATTCGGCCCAATTGAGTTGAGGTGACATCACGAACAACGCTGCTTAAGGCTCATCCTTTTGGTGCTGGAATTCGGCCTTGGTATATGCAATGCTCACTACCTACCTAAAAAGCTTTGATATACATCGAAGCAGGTGCTAGCTCAGCAGATTCTTGGGGGCGGGTACGTCTGTGGAACATGAGGTAACGTACAGGCATCTAGATATATAGTTCGTATATCTTCTCCATGTAGCAGTATTGCATCAAGAGGTTCAACAGCTCATCAGATGGTCTAGACCTCAGGGTTGGTGCACCGCCTTGTTCAAGACCGCAGAACACAGCCCAGCTGCACTGTACCTGCCTGTAGGTGTTTAGGTACCATGCGAAAGCGGTAGGGGGTTCACCGTTGCACTCCCCCAAACCCACTGAGGTCCCACCCAGGCTAAAAATGGCGAACCGAGTACTTGCAGCACCACCGTCACTGTCGAAGGATCAAGCCAAGCAAGCCCCTGCCCAAGCTTCACTCTGAACCCCCCCCCCCTCCCCTCCTGGCTCCTGTCGCGCTTGGCCCGAAAGCTTGACGACGACGGGCTTCATCCTCCCCTCACACGATCGCCTGCCTCGTGCTCCCTGTACCCCGACATCATCGGCGCGGACCATGCCCGAAACACCACACCCACGAACAATCCTTCGCGGCCACAAAGCTCAAGTGCACGCTCTCGCCTTTGTCGGCAAC